TTATTATTGTTACAATAGACAAAGAAACATCCATCCATAAATAATGAAACATTATTCCCTTTATTGAATAAATAATAGAATATTAAGAGAATAATTTCCATTTAGTTACGATTACAAAAATAACTGGTGGGATTATGATCATCAAAAAAGAAAAGGAAATCATCTTCAAAATATTTATATATATATATATAAATGAAACTTATTTTTTCTCTTTTTTGAATTTTAACAAATCGGTGGTAAAACGGCAAAAAAGGCATTTAAAACGTTCAAATTCATTAAATGCTTACGTAGTCAAATACATTTGGGCGTAAGCGATTACGTATCTGATTGGATAATAATCAAATCACGGGAATGATTGGTTTTAATAGGGTTGTTTTTGGAAACTCAATTTAGAAAGTTGACAACAATTTGACCTTTTATTTACATCATAATTTACCCAATCTCATGGTTAATGCTAAATTAATCATTAATCACTTGGATTAGTTTCAAACTTTGATTGATGGACAAAATGAATTGAAGATTTTGATAAATAAAGGATAGTCAGAATACTTTGATTTCTAATTTGTTTACATAATAAATGTATATCAATCAATCTAATTTTTTTTTTTTAAAAAAAAAAAATCGGAAAAGTTCGGAATTATTCTTTAAATAATGCATGAGTGAAAAAAATTTGAAAATCAACCGGTTACCTTTTTTTTTTCATTTTAGGTTTTATAATAAGAAAAAAAAAAAATGGAAAATATAAATTAAACTTTATTCAGATAACAAATCAAAAACATCATTTGTTAATTTAGGAAATAATTGAAAAGAAAACACCAATCAAATAATTAGATAATTTAAGTAATTTAACAAACAAGAAAAATGATGCAATGAGGAAAATAAAAAATCTCAAAACGACGTTGTCCCCACGCCCGCCCCTTTGTTTAGGAATTGTTCTTTGATTGAAAAAAAAAATAATAATAAAATGAAAAAATGAATTTGATAAAATTGGTAATCGAAAAAATGTTTTGAAAAAACCGATTGTATCAAGGAAAAAAAACATCCCTCCCACTAATGATTGGCATAATGGACATTTATTTTTTTTTACCCCTGCGTTTGTTTACGTTTCGTTAATTTTTGTAAATTCTTCGATATTCACTTCTTGATTTACCACTTGAATCGAATATCATTCGGAAACAAAATTAAAAATGCAATAAAAGTTGTACATAATAAGGTAAAAAGTCATTCATTATAAATTCAAGTTCCAAATCAAGATTTATAAAAAAAACAATAATCACCGACCACATTCCAAAAAATATTAAACAATAGAAAAAGAAAGAGCCGAGCAGTGTAACCGTTGCCGATTAAGGAAATTTTTCGTTCACTGAATAAAAAAGATTGATGATTGGTGTTCTGACCATGTATTACAAGTTCACTTTAAGAATTCCATTCTTGTCCACAATGGGATCCGTTCGCAGATGAGTCATTGTAAAATGGTATGGGAAGTTGAACATTGAACGATGATCACAATAATAATAAAATAAAATATAATCATGGTTCCAACATGTGGAAAATATTAAATTGGTCTATAATTAGCTTTACTTTCTTTCAAGATGCCCTATTTGAAAGGCTTGAACGGTAAGGACAACGGTAACCTGTACATAATGAGAGTATTATTTCCATATAGAGAATACAGTTGACGGAATTACCACTTTAGGGTCACAGAAAGAAGAAAGGGGAGACGAACTTTTTGAAAATATTGGTACTTCTATTATTACATATCTTTATTCGGAAAACAATTCACAAGCGACAATCATTGAGTACAAACAAGGAAATGCCCAAGACAATATTAAACCAACTCATTAAGCCAATTTAGCTAACGATTTTTTTTAAATGGCCCTAACGGAAGATTTAATTTAGTATCAAGTTAGTTTAAACCATCCATTGTTTCCCCTTTCTTTATGATATAATAATAACCATAATATTAGAGGTTTATTGGGTCATATTGAAAATTTTATACAACGAATCTTCTATAAATAATATAAATTACCTTTTAGGTTCAACAATATCCTCTTAATAGGAAATCCTTACCCTTTATGTACTTGGAGATAGATATAAGAGATATGATTTCTAAATAGGTAATTATGTAATATCGGGGTTAAAATAAAAGGACCTTTTATTTATATTAGGCTTTCTTTATTGCCAATTTGAGAAAAGAATGCAGATGTAAAATTAATATTATAATTATAAATACCTCGCTAATTTGGGGACAAAAAAAAAATTAAAAAAAAAAGTAAAAAAAAAATATATATATAATTATATATTTTTTTGGATTTTTCTTTACCTTCCCATAAAAAAAAAACCTATTTTTTGGGAAAAAAAAATTAATATATTAAACCATGTCGTTCTATTGTTTCGAAACAAGACAAGACCGCACATTGGCACCATATCCACCACCGGAATTCTCTCAACAATTAGAAAAAATGTCTCCAGCGGAAATTGTGGACCATATAATAAATACAAACATTGACCCACATACTCTTCTAAAAATCGAAAAATCAATAGCAGTACCACTTAGACAACTTATTTCTCCAAGAGAGAATAGACGTCGTCGTTGCATTCCTCGCCCACAAAATAATTTTGTACTTTATCGAAGGAACTTTCATGCCGTGATCACAAAAGAAAGAGGTCATGGCGTTGCAAAGGATTTCAAATTAATATCAAACGAAGCTGCTAAAAATTGGTCGGCCGAAACAAATGAAACCAAACAATTATACGAATTAATCGCCGATTGCGCCAAAAAGGTTCATGATTGTACTTATCCCCAGTACGTTTATCAACCAAAGCACAAGTCAAATAAAAAAGGTGCGAACAATACAATATTTAGAGAGGTAACCGTGGATTCTTGTAGTAAAAAGAACAATGATAAAAATAAGGATGGTAAAGATTCAAAGGTTAAATCTGATCCAAAGAAAGACAGAATTACAATGACAAAAAGTTTTGTTAGTAGTAATATAATTGCAACAACGACTTTCTTATCCGCCGATATTGATGTTCCTCTTGGTGCTTCCATAACAAATATAAATCAATTTAACAAAACTGGTAATAGCTCAGACATATCACTATCGAATTCAGAAGAAAACAAGAAAGAATGGCGCTGGGCGCATTACAGTCAAAATGAGGCAACGATAAATACGATCAATAATGTAAGGAATGTAATGATTGCAACCGGTACAAAACCAACAAAAGCACTTCCTCCCGCGGGTGTTCCCGTGAGCCCACGACCTCCTGGGAGCTCACATTCTCCAGTGAGCACCAATTCTCCAACGAGTCCACTTCCCCCTGTGACCATACCTCCACATTCCGTGAATGCATTTCCAACATTGCCTACAATTGATGCTCCAATTTCTACGCATTTCACTTCATATGACAAAAATGTTTGGAAATTGGTCAATAGTTTCGCAAAACTTTAAGATTGTCGGAAATTTATTTTTTTATCGTTATTTTTTGTTTTATATGATATATAGTAGTGTGTATAATTTTATCATCTGTCGAACATATATAGATAAAAGATATATTTATATATATGTGGGAATCGAAATTTTAAATATTTTATTCTCTCTTTTGTACAAATTTTTCTTTGGAAATTCTTTTGCATATCTCCAATAATAAAATCTGATACCAAATTTTCGCTCTGTAAATTCTTCTCGTTAATGACAGTCTAACAAAAACAACTATTATAAAAACATAAAAAATAAATATTTATGTCACGATGTTTTCATCCTTGTCAAAGAACTTGTTGGGTTGATTAAAAAAGGTAATATTGAATTTAAGAAAAAAAAATTTCGAGGTTAGAACTTATAAAAGGAAAATGATTACCGGGGGATGAAAATGTTGCGGTGATTGTCTCATGAAAACTTGGGTGATAGCGGAATATACAACATAAAGAGATAATGTGGAATTTTGACACAACTTGACATTTGACGGTTTTCGTTAGCGTTGACTACATTCGGAATCGTTCATGTGAAAAGGAGGAGGTAGAGATTATGGAATGCTTTTTGTTTCATTGTAATCTTTATGAAACTGTTTTAATACATTATATGTTTCATTGTAACTCTTGATAAATTAAAAATGAAATGTTTTATTCTATTGGGATGTTATAATCCGATCAATAGTAAAAAAAAATTCTTTTACTTTCCGATTCCATAATAAACATAAAAAAAACCCAATTACTGTATATCTTTTTCTGATCTACAAATTTTATTTTGTGCACTCATTTAGCATGACAATGAACTTTTTCTATAACATAAAATATATCTTAACTTTATTTAGGTTTGAATGAACAATTCTCGATTGTGAAAAGAGTGATAAAATGAATTTATGGTAATAGGGAAATAATAGGTTTAGGGAAGTAATGTTTTATGATTGTGGGTGAATGAATTTGGAAAAAGGGTTTCAAACTAATTTTAGTGCATTGAAAATAATCCCTTTTGTTGAACAATTGTTTATAATATTTATATTATTGGTATTTTTCGCTTTAGCTTCTTTTGTATGAAAAGATCAAATATTGATATGATACAAAAACAAAAAAGAGTGTAATAAGGATACTTTTGCACTTCGTTAGTAATTGCCGCTTGTGGTGACCCCATAACATTTATATCTCATTATTTTTGTCACACATTTTCTTTGAGAATATTAAAAAGGAAAAAACATAAATAAAACTTTAATTTCGGTAACATCAACATTTGGTAAATCTCATTATTTTTATAAGTAGAAAACGTGGCATAAATTGTGTCCTTGTACTATTTTGAACTGATTATGGAAAACAATAGTAAAAAATATAGGGGGCTGATTCTGTAGAAATCACGTGAGATGTTTAACGGGTGAAATCAACTAAATCAACTACAGCTTTTAAATCATTTACTTAGTATTGGAATTAGGTGTAAACAAACAAACGCCCAAAAATCGGAAACATTCTTTTTTGATTTGGTGTTTCACTGATATTAAAACTCATGCTAACCTTTATTCTTATTCTAATACAATTTCCAATACATCTCTAATCTCGATTGATGAATGGTTTCATGTTTTATTGATTTTGTGAATTATCGGTATAAAGTTTATGAATATTTTACATGAAATTTTAATTCAACTATGAGAGGATGGAAGGTAAAAACCCCGTTATATTATTTATTCAATAAAGGGAATAATGTTTCATTATTTATGGATGGATGTTTCTTTGTCTATTGTAACAATAATAA